TCCTGCAAAAAAAAATTGTATCAGCATTTTAATATATTGTGTCTCTTCCACCAGTATGTAATTTACCCTCTTTCTGAGTCTTTTTTTCCCCTCTGTGACTACTAAATATTCTCAATCTTTTTTCTCCGCCTTTTACACATGTTTTAACGGTAATTTTTCATTCTCCTTCCTCCTCATCTTATCCTTCCGTAATCCATATCTCTCTGTCTCTGCATTTCTAATTAAATAAAACATGTTTCTAATTGTCTGGATTTAACGTCATTCTTTAATTAGCAGGACGATGTTTAATCAGCTGCCATCCATAATCGTGGCATTAGCTGTACCCCCTTTCCATTAGAATTGGAGAATGAATTGAGGCTGATGTCATGATTTCAGAGGGGAGGGATGACACAGCGTGAACATATCTCAGAAATACCATAATTAAATAAAACAATTTGAAGAATGGACAAATGAAAGTATGAACAATGACACATACATAATTACGCACACAATAACACAATGTTTCATAGGCAAGTACACACTCTTACAAACACATAAATTCACACTCTTACAGACACAGACACACTCTCACAGAAGTCACACTCTCACAGACAAATACATTCACACTGTCCCACTCTCACAGACACACGCAGTCACACTCTCACCGACACACACATTCTCACAGACACACGCAGTCACACTCTCACCGACACACACATTCTCACAGACACACGCAGTCACACTCTCACCGACACACACATTCTCACAGACACACGCAAGTGCGCACTTTCACAGACACACACTCGGCAGTTGGCATGTTTAGTATCTTGCTACTACCCTCCCAGTTCCACACTCTGCAGTTGGCATGTTTAGTATCTTGCTGCTACCCTCCCAGTTCCACACTCTGCAGTTGGCATGTTTAGTGACTTGCTGCTACCCTCTCAGTTCCCTTATAAAGCCGGGTCAGAGTCAGTGTGGCCAGCTGCTCCTTCTTCAGGTCCATTTCAGCTGTCAGTGTATGATGTTGTTTGTCCGACCCTCTTCAATGAAACACTGTACACAGTCTGTGCACATAGTCTATGCTTCCTATTTCACTCCCACCAGCTTCCTAGCATTGCCATCTGTATTTCCAGATAGACTACCTTACCAAAAAAACTTTAATTAATACAAAATATTAAAATATCCAAACGTGTTTCGCCAAAAGCTTCTTCAAATGGATAGACTACTCTGCCAATTATCTCTTTTCTTTTACACTTATCTTATGGCCTGGAATTTTACTTTTCCTGTACTCTAAGCAATCCTAGGTGGGGAGCAGACCACCAATGCTGATACCATAGAGCAGTTAGCCTGCTCTATTCTTGTAAGTACATTTTTATTCATTTTATCTACTGACATTTTTAAATTGAGAGCACTATTAGTTGTCTTTCTATCCCTTTCCTGAGTTTCGGATACTACTCTTGAGGTGGACACATGCTGCATATCCTATAAATGGGGATTATAGCGCTGTACGCCTATTTCGCTCGAGTTGGCTATAGCTCGCTTAAATGTGAGTGTACTACCAACATTTCAAGTGAGGATCTTTCATTTTCTTTCATTTTCTAATACTTTATATTGACTCTCATCTATGACTTTAAGTCACCTACACAAGAGGCTATCTTACTCCACTATTGATATTATCTGTATTTTTTTGTATCTTTCCTTGTTTTGTCTGGTTCAAATAGAACAACTGTAATATTTTAGAGGTGACTTCTGAGGAGAGCAACACACTTCTGATTCTCATGCCTCCCCTGTGCTACTCTGTGAAGTTAATGGCTCTATAGGGCGTGCTGGGAGACTACAGCTCTCACAATACAGCAGGTGGTGTGAGGGCGTGCTGGGATATCACAGTAGTATTCTCTCTGCTCCCTGATCGCAATTTCCTCCCCCATAAATATAAATCAGAAAGCAAGTCCTATCTGAGGTGGAGCAAACCTTAATATGGCATGTCTCTGGAGCTCCGTTGGTGGTAAGTGCTGATGTCTACTGCAGCTCCCACTCATATAGAGACCTCTTCCTCCTTGCCTCAGCATTCAGAAGTGGTTCGGCAGGAGGGAGACCAGGTATGTGTGTGGGCCGTGGCACACTGAAATGCGGCATATGCCATCTTAACTTAGGCCGTCGCGCACAGACCCCTGCAGTGACATTCCGTGTATAAGACGACCCCCAATTTTAGACTAAAACTTTTTTTTAAAACAATTAAACAGTCTTAAAAATTGAAAAATACGGTATATCCATCTGTTTTCATGACACCCGGTTTTAAGTGTAAAAATGTTATTTTTATTTATATGCAAATATGTCCAAACCAGAAACCAAATGGGAAATAGATCAAGATGAAGAATACCATATAAAACATTTTATTACCACAATCTTTACACAAACATGCTGTTTTATCCCACACGTATGTGCTAGCCACACATCACTTTACTGGGTTAATGGGCCCAGGGTGTAAGATATATCTGTACATTTCACAGAAGAGAAATAGCCAGCCCTTGAAAAGTCCATAACTCCACCTTGGGAGTCTATACAAAATCAAATAATATATCGATCTCCAATGGAAAAAAAAGCTTATTATTTCAATAACTTCTCTAACTTAATAAAATACAATGAGATCTGAAAAAATTGGATAATCATTTCTGAATGAACAAAAGAAGAGATTGACCCAATCCTTTCCCTCCTCCACCTTATATTGCGCAATTTGTATGAAATCAGTCAAATCGCCAGAGTGCGTGCGCACAGTTTAGATGTCCCGTTAGCTTTCTCTTCCTTTCGTGATTCTTTATTCTAAATGTAAATGTTTAACGCCAATAAGTGCTTTATTCTGTGGTTGAACATTCCATGTCTGTGTAATACTATCTTGTTTTATCACTTGATACATTCTCAGCATAGATAAAGAAAGATTGAAAAAAATCCCCAAAACCTCTTTAGCATTTTTTTTCTGCAGCACCGTAACGGTTAATGACCTACGCACACTGTATTAGGCCAGTGCTACAAGTATTCCGTGTGTCACAATGCCCCAGATATTGCTTTTGAGAGAAAGATATTTTGAGTGCTTGACAAGTGATTGGTCCCAGACGTATATAGAACAGTGTGAATTAATAGGAAGCCCAACCGTGAGTGTAATTGTAACAAAAAACTCTTCGGGGACAAAGCGTCAGGCTCCAGTTGTGCAATTTGTTGTTAAATAATATAACTGCTCATTAATTTTCTTTGTTCTATTTATATTGCATACTGATATTCACCATAGATTCTGGAGAGATGCTCAGCAATTCATGTTATATGACATCACCTGCTTTTACCTGCCTATACACCTGCCATAACACACACATCTTTACATTAAATGACAGAGCATTACACCACGTCGATATTGCACAATTGCTAACAGAGGTATAGATTTGTTTCATACGTATAAATAAAATATGGTCTATTCCCTCACATACTTAACGCCAGATGCGACTTGACTACTGTAATCCGCTTCTCAGTGGTCTTACGTGCTCCCAACTTGCGCTGTTACAGTCCATAATGAATGCGGCGGCGAGGCTCATCTTCCTGTCCGCCCGCACCTCCCATGCCTCACCCTTCTGTCAGTCCCTACATTGGCTTCCTATAAAATATAGAGCTCAATTTAAAATTCTGGTTCTTGCTTTCAAATCTCTACATAATGCTGCTCCCACCTATCTATCCTCCCTTATACACAAGTATGTCCCGTCTAGGCCCTTACAATCTGCTGAAGACTTACGTCTATCTTCTGTCCGTACTCCCACCTCTGATGCTCGCCTTCAAGATTTCTCGAGGGCTGCACCGTTCCTGTGGAACTCGCTTCCCTCCTACACAAACACACACACTGTATTATATACATACACACACTACATTCATTATATACACACACTACACAAACACACACACTGCATTATATACACACACACTGCATTCATTATATACACACACTGTAAATAAATATTCAATTAATATAATTTTTGGGGGGATCTAATTTTATTTAGAAATTTACCAGTAGCTGCTGCATTTCCCACCCTAGTCTTATACTCGAGTCAATAAGTTTTTCCATTTTTTTGTGGTAAAATTAGGGGCCTCGACTAAATATCCGGGTCGGCTTATACTTGAGTATATACAATATATATAAAAGTATGAAATCCACCGGGTGCTGGATATGAAAAAATATATCTAACTTATTTTATTATATTATATAAAACTAATGTTATATTCTTCCTTCTAAACAGAAAAAGTAAAAAAAATAGAGACTGAAAAGAAAGCGTATGTTAAATCCGATGAATCCTCATTGTCGTGCCCGAGAAACATAATTCTTTCTCACTGTAGAAATATTGTTATTACGTGTGATACATAGTGTACATTAGTAGTGTACATTAATTGGTCACCTAGTAGAGGCGGTATGGCTGATTTCAGTACATGAAGGGTTAATTTGGCTGTATGGGAATGTGCTAGGTGTCAGATCACAGGGAAAGGTTTGCAAAGTGAATTCTTCCTTTGAAGTCTGACACCCAGCTAAGCCCTCTGCCAGGTGTGAAATATACACCCAAACTGCATGTAGGGCTCATCTTTTCCTGCACTTGATGACTACACCCCCTTTGGGCTAAACGCGTTACTGTTTTATTATTAAATAAAACTAGTTTTTTACCTTACTGGGACCTTCCTGATTTTATCCCGGAACAGTTTATCCAGAGGAGCCACACTTTCTACCTCCTTGGTGGGGAGGAAACCACCGACGCTACACAGGATTTAGCAAAAACCACATCGTTTTGCTCTCCTTTTGTGAGTATACCTCCTTTTATTTTGCTTTTACATTAAATCAGAGAGCACAATTTTTCTGTTTTTATTCTCATTTTATGTGGTGAATATTTGTGACACTGCAATTTGGAGGGAAATACCTGTGAACGCTCGACACTTTAACCCTGACCCACCTCTACAAGGAACCAAGCTGAGCGACATATCCACATAAGCTCCAGAAAATGTCACCTCACCCCCTATAGAATATACTACACTATATTCTGTTTTCTGTCTTCATATTTTCCGTACTGGCTCACCACTATACAAGTTTGAGGACACCCTGCTTCCCTGTACCCTTTCCTGACCCTATGTGTTGCTTCAGCGGTCCTGACCCTTTTTGATATACCAAGTGACTATTAGCGGACAGGAGACAAAGCCAACATGTATAACCAGAAAACCATAATAATAAGCTAAAGAATAATAATCACGCCTCGGGTTGTACATATTCAGAACTGCAAGGGAGCACCCTAAAAAACGAGTCTAAACATGGCTAGTGTAACTCAACCTGTTTTGAAGGAACCGTGGCAGTCCGCTATATTACGTCCTTGATGGGTCTTGTAAGATGTGTATGAAATGGATAAATTGTGACCATTTCAGAGATGTAAACAATATTTCTGTATTCAGCACACAGCAAAAGATAAACATGTTTTTATAAGCTCCTTTATACAGATTTGTGTTTGAATCAAGCAAAATGAGCAGAGGGGAGGGATAAGCTACCTAGACTTCCTACAGTTATGACTTCCCCCCACCTTGTACCTCAGTCTAGGCTGGCTTGGACATATACGATGGGAAACAAGATAGACACTCCATAGACTTGTAATGAGCCACGTGCGCTCTGGGAGTCAGATCTAGTTTGGGTGAGTGTCAGTTTCTGTCGGTGCTCCCCCAGAAAGAACAAACCATTAATGTAACACCTAAGTGAGTAAGTAGAATTTTCTCTTAATTTCTTTATTAATTTTATCAGTTGTTGGTGTAAATAATTTATTTATTATTATTATTATTATGATATTTATATAGCCCCATCAAATACTGCAGCGCTATTTGACATCTATTATTTTTTTTAATGCACTGTGCCTATTTTTATTCATTATCTCTGTTGGCGCTATATAAATGGCAATAATAATAATAATAATAATTATAAATATTCCTTAATTCATTTTTGCCTTTGTCCACTAAAGAATCCTGTTACCCAAAGAGACAGATTTAATAGTATTTTCAAATTGCACAGATTTTGTGCTAATTGTTTTGTGGGTTGTTAATCTATTTTGCTGTCATGACCCTCATGTGTTTTCAGAGATACGCTAATAGCTCTGGATTAACATCACAGCGAATATATTTCACTCCACGGAAAAACCCAGTGACACCACAAGAATCTGATATGTCATAAACTGAGCAGAAAGTGACGACATGATCAGCATTTGGAAACATGATAACTCAAAATCCTGTCCATTTCATTCAATTCCATTATCCAAAGAATTATTTCTGCATAAGGAACTTCAGTCTGTTAAACCCATGCCTGTGTTCCGGGATAATATCTAAATTTAAATCTTAATTGGGTCATTAACCTTGTTTGACTCCCTGGCTCTGAGATATCTGTGGAACCATCACAGTCATCTCCCAATGGCAGCCAATACATGTGATCACGATCACTGACTGTCACTATGTCACTGTGACTGAAGGTCATGGTCCATGGATAGGGAAGGACTCGGGGATGGTCAGGACTAGAGTTACGGGTAGGACTAGGTCTGAATTAGGGATAGTATTAGGGGTGCAATAAGGGTTACGGTTAGAATGAGTTTAGGGCAGGGTTTAGAATCAGCGTACAAATAATGTTTAAGGGATGAATTAGATTACAATCACATTTATACGTGTCTGTTTTATATCAGAATGTTATATAGAGAAAATTATTTGAGTTTGTATAGTGATAAAAAAATAAAACAAAAACGTAATTTAGGAAGTTAATTGTGCACATTTTAATTAGCAGCTTTCTTCCCAGATCCCAATGCCAAGATTTCACTGACACAATGTCAAACGTTGATACAATGCGGTATGGGGATACAGATAGTGTCTCGGGGGGGCAAGCTGTCAAAATCAAAGCTCAATCTCTTATCCGACCCTGTTACTTCACCAAAATACTGGATAAAGTATACGTAGGGGAGTATTGGGGACTGTAGCTGACTGGGGAAATCTAGCTGACAGAAAAAGAGGTTTAACATTGTTTTAAACAATATGCTTAATAAAATGATACGTCCTCAAACCAGGCAATGACGTACATTGACATACATTTGGGGTGTAGCAGAAAACAAATCTGGGGTCGTTACAGTAGTAGGACTGGTCAGGTATGTGAAATGTCCTAAAAAAATACAAGTTGAGGGAAAAACATTATGGATAACTTTCAATGTAATTATTTTTTTCCAAAAACAGTTGATAAATATCAACTGTTTTTGGCAATTTTTTTTCTTCCAATTTCGGATTAATTTAAAAAAACATACAAAATTCAAGTAGCCGAATCCGAAATGGTTCAGCTGCTTGGAATAAAACTGTCAATAAACGTACTTCGAGACGAGAGAAGTGAGACTTGCCTGTGAGGGAGCTCTGATTGAGATTGCATAGTGTGGGAATGACGGCTTTTCTCATTAAGCAAGCTCAGTCTGCACAGAGAACTCAGTGGGCTAACACTGATTTATCTTACTGGCCTCATCATTTTTTTATTTTAGAGTTACTTCAGGACTTTATGGATTTTTGTTTGGCCTTTGTTGGGGATGAAGAAAAAAGAAAAGGAGGTGAACAGGGAAAGCAGGGATTTTTATTGGTGGTATGGGTAGAACTTTGGGCGCTGGACAATGGCTAGATTATTAATGATATCAGAACCCCCACCCACTGCCAATGGATGGGGGAATATTAGGTCTCCTTGATTTTTATTATATTTAGAGCCCCCACCCACCACTCATAGGTGGGGACTGGGTGATATTATAATTTATTTATAGCCTCACTAGGGGCACACGGGGGGATCTGTGCCAGGCCCCCTGTTTATTGGATTAGTGATTGCACAGGAAAAAATACTCTGTTTCAGGTTTTTTAACCAAAAACTGTGAAAAATGCATTGCATGTGCAGCAGTCGCCTTGCTTGGCCAATCCAGTGCATACAATACTTGTATTGGGATGCTGAATATCAAATAGATTTAATAATTTAATGTAATTGTGTTGGATACCCATAGTGTCTGTCTGACAGCCACTAGGATGCGTGGACACTGAAATGTGTAAAAAAAAGCTATTTCTCAGAAACAGCATTGTTTACATATGTAAGGCTGTAGGATCAGCATCTTGGCCGAAAATCATTTAATTGAGATTACATTATTTTGATGCTTAGGCTGTCCTGTAATGTTGTGTTATATATTGATAATGGATCTTCTCTATCCTCTACCCGGTCTGACAGGAAGTGCTCACTGAGAGCAATGAATAACTTCCTGTCCGATGGGTAGAGGATACAGAAAATCTTCTAACAAGTCCACCCGGCCACGCTACAAATAGGAGGTAGGAATGCATGCACAAAGGGCCTGGGAACGGGGACAAAGCCCTCACTAGCTGCAAACTTTAAAACATTTCCTCCTTACACAACAAATACATCCCTTCTCATTCACTTGGCTCTGCTAATGACTGTCTCCTGACATCAGTTCGTCCCCACATTGCCATCATCTGCAGGATTTTTCCATGGCTGCCAAGTTGCTTTGGAATTCGCTACCCCGTACCCTCAGACTCCCCATAGCCTACAGTACTTTAAGAAGTCACTGATAACACGCCGCCATCTTCCTGGCTGACACTTCTCTCATTACACTGCCGTCATCACCTCCCTCGTCTCCATAGCACGGCTCTTTCTCCTGCCACTATTCCTGCTGATTCTTCCAACACAATGTTTACCAGCTTAATCTTATCCATTAATTAAAAAGGGAGCAACACAATCGTGTGGTGTGAAACGAGTAAGCCTCTTGTTTAGATAGGTGTTTGTATCACTAACAGAGGAATATAAACCATATTTTACATCTTCACGTCTTTCACATCACACTATTTTGTTGTTGTTTATTTGTTTGCTCATTACGGTGTTTGGGAGTTAGCCGGCGTGCTGGTGTGGTTAGTGGTGGTAACACTGTATCAAGCTTTCTTTTTCTCAGTTTTGCTGAAGATTTATTTTATTTATATTCACCTATTGAAGCTCTTCTTTATTTCTGCTCCACTTGCAATGCTCTCTCTACACCTCAATTTATTTTAATATTTTCCCTTTATGTCTGCTTTCAAAAACATAATATTTAGATAATGTTTCATTTGTGGGGTAACAGCTTGATCTAAGGAGAGATCTGACTGCCATGCTGGGGTCGAGACGGATGTGTCCCCCTAGTTTGCCTTCTTTACTCGCACGTCACTTTTCAGCATAGGTAACTAAGTAACTATATCAGATTTTTTTTATGTTCTCCCCTTTATGTCTTTTACCCTCCACAAATTTTACATATCCAGCATCTCCTTTGTATCTGCCCCCTTTAAGCTCTCTCTTTATGTCTGCTCACCATTTTTTGATCTCCCCCTTTATGTCTGCTCCCCCTTTTATGATCTCCCTCTTTATGTCTGTGTGACGGACCGCCTGGCACCCCAACAGGGTGCCTCCGCCAATTGATGCTTCTAGTGCTCACCCAGGACTCCAAGCACTCCACCAGACACCATAAACTCCAACAAACCGCTGCAGCTGGGTTGGGGATCTCGCTGTCCTCCACCCACCCTGGACCCAAGACTAGGATCCAACTTCCAGTGGGTGAACCTCTCCTACTCCAGAAAGCGTAGCAGGAACAGCTCTTATAAGAGCTAATGATTATACTCAGGGGAGTATTGTGATATAGAAATCCCCAGGGTGAATATAGCTGTCCCCTCCACACATGAGACGAGGCTCTATGTTGAGGGTGAAGAGGAACTAATTTTAATGGTGCCACACTGGGCCTTATATGACAATCCCCATGCAAGGGGTACACCCACATGGACCTTGTGGGGAACGGAGTTACAATATTCAAAGACCAATAATAATGTTACAAGGCACGACACTCCCACACACACAGCACACCATCCCTCCCTTCTGCCTGGGAGATAATTGAGTCAGATACTGTATTAACTCAGTTATCTCCAGGCAGAAAAAAACACACATTTCTCCAAAGTCCCAAAAGTACTCCAAAACACACAACATCCCCACAAATGTTACATCCACTGATAGCCCTGATCTGAATGACCAAATCAGTTCAGGGGTTCAGGAATTCTATGGCAGTCACATTTTAACTGACCGCACGCATGGTCCCATGCCCAAAATAGTTCCAGAGAATCAGGCTGTGCGGTCAGTCTATTTCGGGAATTCA